TTGGCGTGTGTGAGTGTGTGTGTGTGTGTGTGTGTGTGAGCCCGCAGATATTTAAAGGGAATTTCAAAAGAAAGCAAACTCTAATTTCCATTGCAAGCTTCAGTTTCCAGTTATGGTTGCTGCTGTGGTGGTGGTGGTGGTGGTTGTTGTTGTTGTTGTTGTTGTTGTTGTTGTTGTTGTTGTTGTTGTTGTTGTTGTTGTTGTTGTTGTTGTTGTTATTGTTGTTGTTGTTGTATGAGTGTGTGCGTGTGTGTGATAGCCCATCCGTTCGAAATGTTTTTAGAACCGAAGAGCATGCTCTTCGACAGAGCGACCGCTGTTCTTGGTAGCGACTGAGGCAGTCTAACCTCCCTGAATCCCCCCCAAAGAGATGCCACCGCCGGACCTCCGTGGCAGGGCATCTCTGCAGCCAGTGCTCCAAATCGCTGCAGTTGCTGCTGTTGTTGTTGTTGCGGCTGCTGCTGCTGCTATTACTACTACTACTACTTCTACTACAAAACTAACAACAAAAATAACAATACCATAAAAAATTCTCACAACAACAAAAGTAGCAACCAACAAAAACAAAACTTACAACCACACCACCACCAACAACAAGAAAAAAGAAAGAGGACAGGACTAACCATGCTTCTCTGGAGCTCCGGCGGCAAACACCCCAAAGGCCACAGAGAATGAAACTGTTTCTGGCTTCAGACAGACAGGATGGGCCGTGAGACTACCAGCCGTGCCCGCGAGAGTGGCCCTACGGATGTTCAAATATGCTTTCGCTTTCTCTAGCTCCGATTGACCAAGGCGATTTTCGGAGTTTCCCAAAACGAGCTCTTCAGAACTTGTGGGAATTCCCGACGGTGGTTTGGTAGAAAAGTTTATCGCGGTCGTTTCACTATTAGACGTCAGAGATGGCTGTGGGTGCGGAGTTGCAGGCGTCGAGCAGTTGCTGTTCACAATGTGTGTTGTAGATCTACCTCGTGACACACCGTTTACGCAGGCGCTGGCAAACGTTGAACTGGTAACAGCGATACAAGTTGTGATGCTAGGCTCAGTAAAGCTTGCGGTGCATGGGCTTAATACTCCTTCGTTTCCCAAAATGACGTCCGAAACTCCTTGCAAAGGTGGGTTACCCACACCTTCAGAATTCACAAGAATCGATGCAGGCGCACACGGCAAAGAAGTAGATCTTCCTTGTACCGACCCGCAATTTTCGGTGACAGATTCTTTGGTTTCTGCAGCAGTGCTGAGCTTTTTCGTCTCACCTTGTGTTGCGGATTGCTCGGGGTTCGAAGGAAACGACGAGAATGGTAATAATGTCGACGATACCGGCGACGATAACGATGAGGGTGAGGGTGATGGGGGCGCAGGAGGAGGGCGTATCACGCTCGTGCCACTGACCGGGTCCCACACGAGGCTGGACAGTAGGGATGACCTTCGTCCTGGTCGGTAAAAAAACGAAAAAGAGAATAATTTTAATTGTGAAATAAGCGTGCATGCGGCGTTCCAGATATCGTGAAAGAAAGGCGTAGGGTCAGGCATGGATGGATGGATGAGTGGATGGATTGATGGATAGATGAATAACAGTGTCTTTACGCGTCATTTAATCACCTAATACTCTTTATTTCTCTACCATCTATCTATCTGTCTTTTTATCTGTCTATCCATCTATCTATCCATCTATCTATCTATCTATCTATCTATCTATCTATCTATCTATCTATCTATCTATC